GTCAGATATGTGTATCTCTCTGTCGTGAGTTTTTGATACCTGAGACAATTCTTTCTTTTTACAAGTAAAGCAAGACAGTAGATAAGCAGTAAAACATACTGTTTGTTCTTTAATTTGAGTTCTGTGGTTTTGAACCCCTTTTGTTTATAGCACACTGATCACAGTTTAGACTGACCTTCATTTCCTGAGAGGAGTCCCCATAATGCTCTGATATTCTTGGAATTTTTTGAAAATGTTACTTTCTCAGGAATGGGTCTCCATGTTTCAGGTAATAGTTATCCTTAAGCAAATTTATTTAAACTTGTATTGCTTCAGGGAACAGCCAAGTTGACTCAAAATTTATTTTCCAATGCACAGCATGTAACAGCACCTTTGATCTTCCAGACAGTTTTGCAAGCATTGTTTACACAATACTAATTACACACTAGAATGTGTAATTAAATAGAAAAAATATGTACAGAATAATGAAAATAAAATTGAAATTATTTATTTTTTTTTGTTCATAATGCCTGGTATTTATATCATACAGAAGCAGCATTATTTGTTTAAATTGATACTGAAGCTATCTGTAAAATATCTTTTACTATATTTATAGGCAGAAATTAGAGAAAAGTTAGAAATTAGTAAACTAAGAAGTTTAAGTAATGAAATTACTTAATTTAGAATTTAGAATTAACAAAAGAGTAAACTAAGTAGTTGCAGTTTAGTTTAAATCTGTGAAAATTTCCAAAGGCTACATTGACTGCCATTTTTCCTAGCACATTTGTATGAATTGTTCAGACACAAAGGCTTGCTTTGTATTAGCCAGCTAAGGATTTAGAAAGGGATTATTGCTCATTGAATATTGCAATCCTAAGGAAAAGAAGAATCCAAAATATTTATTTGAAACCATTTCATATTTGACCATTGGAAAAGAGACAAGTATCAAGAAATCATTGTTTCTTGAACTAACTTAATTCTGCTTCATGGTCTTCCAATATGTATTGCAATCCAATTTTAATTTTAAAAACTATTTTTAAAGCCATTTTGTGTCTACTATCATTTTAAAATCTACCTTGTACTACAAAGTATCTGTTTGTCACACATCTCCCTTGACTACTCATAGACAGATAAGCACAATACTGTGCTTTTGTATGCTTTAAGCTGAAATTACCAAGTTTCCTAAAGTGCCTCAAAGTATACTTTTGCTTAGGAGGCATTTTAAGTGTTAAATATTATCATTCTGTCTGAAAAGTGAAGAATTTTTTAAAACTTTTAGTTTTCTATATTTCATTGGGGCTTGTTTTGTTTTGTTTTATTTTACTATGATATGTTATGGTCTAATTCTTCATATATTTTACCACATCTCAGTTTTTTGCCTGCTCTGTCACAGGCTTGTAGATAACCTTCCACCCAGATACTTTTCAAGTCCAAGACTTGCACTTCATGTGAATTTCAAGTGTTTTATTTGGGAAATGCTTGTACCTCAAGCTCAGGCATTCATCAGGTGGTTCACATCCCTCTGCTTCAGAATTTTTGCTTCAGACTTTTAGTCCGATTTATGTACCTAAATATTCTTCAAGGCCTGCACGATAGGATTAATTTCATCCAATTTCCTATGTTTAAAGTGTAAGGTTATCATCCAGATTCTTTGTATTTAGAGATACATATCTGTGAATGAGGATTTCTTTGTATCCTAAGATCTTTACTGATTTCTAGAAAATATATTAGCAAATACTTTAGAGTTGAATCTCTTAAATGGCCACAGTGAAATTATTTGACTTCTGCACTCAGAATAGATATTGGCTAAGGGGCCATATGGGTGAAATAATTCATCAAAAACATTCTCATTTTCAATTTTAAGTGCTGTTCTTAATAAAACAGAACCTGTTTCAAACAGCCAAAAACTTTTCTAAATCTCTGAGCAGTGTGACTAATAATGTTCAGATATGTTTGAAGATTTAGATCAAATCACAGTAAACACAAAGAACCAGAATTTAAAAAGAGTGCCAGCAGCTTTGCATTGTGCCATTGGCTTGTCTGCATAGAAATATATAGAATTTCCCTTAACTGGGTGTTGACAATAAAAATGAGATGACAAAGGTCATTAGGTTTTTCTAAAATCTGAGTAATATTTTTCTCTACAGACTCTGTGCTGTAGTTAGTTGAGATATAGAATCTCCTATTTATATTTGTAACATTTTCTCTGTTCTGTTCCTGAGAAATGCATGTGAGAAAAAGAAGCGTAATAAACGCTGGGCTGATAAATGTTCTTAGAGATAAGCAAAGCCTGCAAACTGGAGCCAGCATGAAAAGCAAGCATTTCAGCTGAAGCCCTTTTTTCCTTTATACACATGAACACAAGTGCATGAACACACACACACACACACACAGAGTCAGCTGCACTAAATGCATTTAATCAACCTTTAAAAAACATCAAAACTCACTCCCTTCTGCAATTCTCTTTTAATAATTTTACTACAACAGTGTAGGAGTGAATGTTACTTCAAAGATACTGGATTTGTCTTTTTTGGACTTAGTGGATTTTTGCAAAAGCTTCAGCATCACAGAGCAGTGCATTATTTAGTGACCTTCTGACTGTTAAGACCTTCTTGTGATCACTGAAATTGATTTTGTTCTGTTAGTATGTGTGTGGTTCAACACTCTGACCTCTTCAGGCACTACCCAAAGAATACTAAGCGGCTTCAGAGAGTATGATACAGTGTGAGTATCTTTTAAGAGACTAGTGATGCTTGGAAATTTTAAACCAAATCATTAATATTGGAGTTATTTTCTTTTCAAAGTATAATTTGAAATAAAAAGTGAAATCTCATACTCTGCAACAGTTGCTAATCTACTGTCTTGTTTTGTTCCAACAATTTTTGGATTTATTTTTGTAAAATTTGACTAATGTCTTCCAAAAGTACATTAGGCAATATGTCTGTCATTCTGTCTCCTCTCTTCTCTTGATAAATATAAATGTTTGTGTGCAAATATTCCTTGCTTAATTAAGAGGAAACATAGTTGTTCTTCTGTGTTTGCAAAAGGTTTATTTCAATTAAGAAATTAAAATTCTTTCTTTTTATTCCAAAGGCAAAATTAAAGTACTTCACTTCTATAGCTTATTTTAAAAGGCAATCATGAATAAAAAAGTGATTTCTCAGTATTAATTTTATTTGGTTTATACTTCTTCCCATTATATATATCAGGACAACAGTTAAAATTTGTTTGGTTTGAAATTTTCTACTTAATTATGCAAAACACTGTTGTTTCTGTACTGATTATAAATTAAAGTTGGCATTTTTAATAGATTTACCATGCAGTGAAAAGTAAAATGGTATTACAAGAACAGAAACTTGGTTAGAGGATCTTGTATTTTTTGCCAACTGTGACTTCTCCCTGCCCTGATACTTCCTGACATTTTTAATTTGGAAGGGAATATCCTTGTAACAGTAGAGGTTGTCCTATGTTTGTAACAGTAGAGTGAAACTAGCAAAGCTACCTATCTTCTTCAGTGTTTCTTGAGTAATAAATAATGTCTAAACTAGGAAATAGGAAATTTTCTGTAGGAAATAAGGGGCAGAGGATTTCAAGAGACATAGTTTTCTTGCACCTTAGAATTTAGGACACGCTGGTTTGCTTTGCAGCCCTAACATACTTTTGTATGACTTAAAAATGCATGCAAAGTTTGCTACACTGTCATTCTCGTTTACTCCTGTTGTGACCATCTTCAAATAGTTTAGTCAGAAATCAGTGATCATATTATTTCTCTCCACAGTGGTTTTTTCCCACAATGAGACCTCAGGTTCTCTTATAGTCAGTTGTCCACAAAAGCACAACACCGAGATTTCTGGGGTTGAGTAGGTAGCACTGGCTGTTGTATTTTTCATAGTAAATAATTTAAAAGCAGATTGATTGAGGGGTAGATGGGGGTGGAAGAAAAAAAAGAAAAAGGGTTCTTGGTTTCCATCAGACATAAGCTTGATGTTTTCATGTAAGTGAATACATCACTCTCTGGTGTAAGCATTATTTTATGTACACAAGTGGAAAACATAAAATGTTTGAGGTAATCCTGCATCTCATGATGTTGGCCAATATGGCATTGTGCTAACACAGTGGTCTGGAACAACACAACTACCAGCTTCCTCCCAGCACATTAAACCATTAAATGCATCTATATAAGTCAGTTTGCTACAGTTAGTTGCTATTCTGCTTGGTGGATGAATGCTCTGGTTGTGCTCAGATTAGAGGCCACGGGCTCTAGCATCCATTTCTGACAAACTGGGTCAGGGATATGCAGGCCCTGTGGGTACGGGCCACATGCAAACCAAACACAATATCTGTTTCCAGAGAGTCATGGATATGAAACTGAGGAACACCTCTGCCCTGTAGTAGGAACTGAGAACCATCAGAGATAATATCTGTAGTTCTGCATTTAAAAAAAAACTTTATATCATAGTGTGCTATTCCCCAAAGTGAATTCTGATGGTTTAAAACATGTCTAGACATGTGTGTGTGTTCCCTTTTGGTTAACAAATGCTTACAGACAACAAAGACACAAAACTCAAGACTGTATTTGAATCACAAAAGTGTGCTTAACTTGGTACTCAAATCAATCAAACCAAATACTTAAGATCAAGATGTGTATGATGTATTAATATACTTCCATATATCTTTCTGTTTGTATACAGACAAAATTAATGTATTATATCTACATAGACACATATTTCCCTACTGTCCTATGTCAGTTTTATAAAATCAGTTAGTGGAAGTTGTGTTCAGCTGGTATGTAATATCAGGTTGCCCAGCAAATTATTTATTCAGGTTGTTCTACTGGTTTTGCCTACTCTTTTCCATTGTTGCTGTGGCTTGATCCTCAACTATTCTACATTCTAAGTCAGAAATGCTTACACTGAGTTTATTATAGATCAACAGGAATGTTGATCTCATTGTAAGCAATGTGCTTTCCATGACTGATTGTTCTTTGGTTTAAAGTAGTTGTTATTTGTCACACTTGACAGGTACACCTACTGCGAAATGCTGGCGATGAAGTTACCATCACAGTTCAATACCTCAGGGAAGCTCCATCATTTTTAAAGCTCCCATTAGGTAAGAGGAAATTAGTGAATGGGAGTAATTTGTTTTCCTCTTTGCAGTATTCTTGTAATAAGCTGACAGTGACAGAAATAGAAATTCAATCCTTGAGTGCTTCACAGGAAGAAATAGAAAATTGTCTGTCTATTTTACTGTTTAACATATAAGAATCAAATGCATACTGCCTTGCTTCTTATGTATAATTTATTCAAAATAAAACTGAAAAAAATCATTAAAATGCAGTACAGTCATGGGGGATAGCTGAAAGTTTTTCAATAGAAGCTTTGCCTAAATACAATAAAATAGTGTTTGCAAACATTTGAATCATACATTTACACTGAAAGTTACTTTGAGGACACTTACCAAACAAATGGATAACATTAATAAGGTATATTTCATAAATTATTTTACTATTTTGATTGGTTTTGTCAGCAGAATTCTGTTGAGACAGCTGAGTAGTTTAACAGTAGAGATACTAAGAAGTGTATGAACGATACAGGTCGTGGAAGTTTGGGGCTCTTCTGGTTATCAGATAAAATATTCAAATTCCACAGTTGTGATCAGTGTTGCAAGTAGAAAAGTGTTCATAATAAATCACTTTATTTAATCAAATTAATAATTCTGCACCAGTTTATTTTAGCAGATTATTTTCTCTCAAAATTAAGCAAAAAGTTTTGAAATGTGTCTTGTTCTTTGGATTGATTTAGATTTTACTTCTTTAAATTGCACTCAACTATATACTTGTATTTTCCTAATTTCAGCAGACTCATAGGTGTCATAGTTTAGACCTTGCCATTAGAAGAGTGTCAGTCATATAATCTAGATTTTTATACCTGTCAAAAGCCAACTTGACAGGCCTCTAATAAGCTGAACTATGCATTTCATGCTAGAACCTTTCTTTCAGTGCTTACTGCTTATCATTTTCATTTGAAAATATATGGTCAGTGTTTCTTATAATGAATCTTCAGGTGTCTTCCTACTTTTCCTACTAGATCATTAGACAACTCTAAAATTATGTTGACTGCACCTTGGATAACTGTGTCCAAGCTTAAACTAGCAGCATCTTACCAGTAGTGTCTGTGTCGTTGGGCATGTTTATTTGTGACTATGACAGTGCTACTAGAACTTGATCTCATCTTGTAGACTGACATCACATACTTGAACTGTATTGCCTGTCATTGGTTAACCTTAGCTAAGAGCCAAACTCTCATTCAGACATTCTCTCACTCCCTGTTCTCAAACAGACTGTGGTGTACAAATAGAACAAAAAAGAGATTAGCTATTAATTACCATCATGGCCAAAGCAGAGGCAATGTGGGAAAACTTAGACAAATGTATTGTCTATTAAAATAGATTCAGGCAATGAGAAACAAAGACAAATAAATTTTCCATCACCTTCTTCACTGACTTTGAGGTTTATTTGATTTTTGTGTCACTCTTTTCCGTACTGTTGTCTCTGCCCTTCTGCATTTTACCCTTTGTTAAATAGTTTCCCAGAGGTGCTAACAGCTCAGCTGCATGGCCCAGTGGTAATGTGGGATCTGGCTGGATCTGTCTGTGTCTGGCACAGGGCAGCCCCAACCATTTCCCACTTCTGGAGACATCCCAGCCCATAGACCCTTGCCACTAAGACCTAGTACACACTACACAAGCTGGCTGCCACATTCACACGTAGTTCACGTAGGTCCAGCAATATTGGTGCCCTCTTTGTGCATCATGGGGAGCTTGGCTTTCTCACCAGGAGATACTGCAGCATCTTTGTCTGGGAGCCTGAGATCATGCTTCCATAAAGTGCCATTTCTAGAAATAGAGAGCAGCTCAATAGAAGCATGCTCAAAAAAAATAACTTCCTAGATATGATCAGACATGTAAGGAACTTAGGAAATGACCCTTCACCTGAACCTGGACCTCCACAAGAGCTTACATGCACCTCTCTAGAATGTTCTGTGTAGCCATTCAATAGAGGCTGAAACCAAGGTTTGTGAGTCAAGTGATCTTTGGTAAATGGCTTGCTATAAATATTCATTCCTGTAATGAGAAAATAAGCAAATAAGGTGGATAAAAGTACAGAAAATAGTTATGATTTAATACAATATATAAACTGGAGTTACAGAGAATAGTAATGGGTTACAGAGAATAGCACCCCATTTCAAGAAGAGCTTTTCACAAGTCCATGCACAAAAGGGAATTCCAGTCATGAAGCATCATGACACATTTAGAAAGCTAAGTAGCAATTGCATTATGCAATAAAGAAATTCCCAAATCACACTGCAGGCAGGATTTAAGTGCATACATGCATAATTCTGAAGTATCTCGGCTACTCCAGCCATCCCAGAAGGCTCAGGCACTTGGTCCCCTACCTTCCAGCATTCATTCAGACCAGCTGCTGTGCTGGCAGATTTAGTGCTGTGCTGTGTTCACTTTAACTGCAATCATACTGTCTCTTCCCATCATCCCATTTCATCACCATGAGCACATCATCACGAGTAGCATCTGCCTCCCCTGCTCCCTTCTTATACATCTCCCTTCCCTACACCATCTCATGTCATGGCAAAATGTCGTAACATGGAAATATCTACCTACAGTTCTCACAGCATTTTTTTATCTATTCGACTCCTTTGTTATTGCCAACAAAAAAACCCCAGAATTTGACATGGGTTTATTTGTAGATACTGATTAAGTATCACTTAAGGATGAGACAAGGACTGCTTGTTTTGAATATCTCATTCTCAGTGAAAAAAGGCTTAATCCAGAAGACAGTTAAGCATACACATAGACCCCATGAGCACAGCCCCTCTCAGATGACATCTAGAAACCATTTTTGTTTCTAGACATTAAATATAGCGTACGGATATTTAAGTGTCTGCCTTTCTGAAATACAAGAAGTATTTCTGTCTTGGTTGGGGGAATTATATTAAAAATTCTTTCTGTGTTTTACAGCTGGAATAGATATTGTCTGATATATACGTATATTTTTAACATCAGCAGGTATTTTTCTTGAACTGATTTCCAGGTTCCCCTGGACCATCCAGTGATCACAGCAGTGGAACTTCATCACCTCTCTTTGACAGTGGCTTACATTTAAATGGAAACTCAACCAACACGGTATGCAAATGAATGATAAAAGCTTGGTGGGTGTGAGCTCTGTAAGTTCCCATTTTGAGCTTCAAAATGCTATAGTAAGACTAACTTAGCTTTGTTCTTCTTGTTGTTTGCTCTGATGGATTTTTAAGGGCTTATACTGTAAAATTCTGTACTTACAAAGTCCACAACACATGGTCATGAACTGCTAGGGTTTTACTCTGGGACAGCTGAGACATTTGGAAGAGTGAACACAGTAAGATTTAATCATTATTTAGACATGAATTCATGCAAACTTTTGTCATACTTTGTTGGATTATACTGTTTCATTTAATCCAGCTGGAGATGCTGAAATCCAGATGAAATTAAGAAAATAATGTAAAGTTGAATTCTTGAAGAAAACTTTTTTTAATAGGAAACATAGTGAGAGAAAGAAATAAAAGAGGAAAAAATGTCTCTTTTTTAACCCAGAGGATATTCAGTTCTTCTTTCTGCAGTGAACAACTGTGATTAAATTAATTGCAGCATTGTGGGGAAAGAAAAGAAAAAAAACTTTTTCTCCAGGAAAAGTGGTAGTCACCAAAGAACATAGGGTGTCTTAGTAAGCAAGAGTGCTGTCCTTTTAGTAATGAAGATTGAAGATGTAAATACTATCTGTACAAGTACATGGACCTTCATGCTCAAAACCTGTTTGACACCTAACAAAACTCAGCTCTAGTCTTTCAGTTGGATATTAAATTATAGAGTAAGAAGACCTACTGAATGGACAGAAGGCTTCTCCTCTGTTTTCCCTTTTCTTCTCAGACAGTAATAAAATTGTCAGATGCTTGCTGTACTTCTCTCAAGCTTTGCACTTCTTCAACCACTGTTTCTCTATACTACTCCTTAAAGCTTGTTTTCATCTGCTAAAAATATATTCATTTATGATAGTATAAAGGCATAATGTACAATAAATAAATAAATATAAATATGCTTTTCTGTGCTGATACCTGTACCTCAGTGTTTGGTGTCCAAAATGGTCATAGATACAAAAGGTGCCATGTTTATTTGTTTGCAGTTATGCAGATGACTATTAATTTGGACTGTCTTGTACTGTTGTCTTACTAAAGAATCCAAACCTCAGGATCCAGCATTCTGCAATGCCTGTCTACCAGGTTCTCTGCAGGCAAAGAAATTCCTTTCTGCAAGGAGCTTACATGATAAGAAAAGGGCTATGGCAGTGATTGCATTAGCACATTTTAGTAAATTAGTGCCTACTAAATGCTAGAATGAGTGTGTTGTGATGATTTTTAACAACCATTATGACTGCTGTGGGAACTGCACACTTCTTTCTCATATTATAAAAATATAAATAAGTGGCTGGAGTTTTGTAGACTTGTAACAGAGTAATCTAGAGTTAGCACACAAGATAGTACACAAAAGACTGGGTATAGGTCTGAAATATAAGCAGAAAAACAAAAATTTAAAAAGGTGTAATAGTAAGGTATTGGGTTGATTTTATACAGCACTTAATTTTTCTGAAGCCTGACAAACTCATGTGAAGAGCTATGTATAAAATAGACACTATGACCTAGAAGTGGAATAAACAGGACAATATACATCATAGATTGTAAAAGTCATGATCTCCCTTCACAGAAAACAAAATGAAAAATTGCTAGAATCTTATTGTGAAACTCAAAAGCAAGGCCCTATGTATTTTGAGCAGGAATGACTGGATTTTGAGATGATGCATTGTATGGTTAAACTTTTCTCAAGCTGTGAGTGTAACTGAGCTGTGATCATATCTTGAAAAGTGGTTATGAATGTGTTTCAACTACCATCTAGTGAGCACTTCTATATTATTCAATTAAATATTTTCAGGTTTGTGGTAAAGTAAAAGCAGAACTGACATTTCCTGTAATGCTATTGCCTAATAAGAGTAATGATATTTAAATCTTGTTTTTATATCACCCTGGTAGGGGAGATCTGACTCACTTTGAACACTGCATCTTGCAAGTTTGTGTTGCAGTTTTATGTACCTTCCTAACCACACTCAGATCCATGCCATAATAGACAATGCACCTATATTTATAAGTGGAAGTTCTACTCCAAAAAGCACACCATGTAAAGGAAAGGACAGGAATGAGAGCCAAAGAATTACTGTTACTCCAGTTTTACCAAGCTTTCATTTTTGAGGGGTTGTAGCATAGAGGTAGTAGTTTAGCCATCTTAGCAGCAGGCTCCTTCTACCTAATAGAATTGTACCATTTTCAGTTCTGGTGCTGTCCTGCCTCTGTTGGACCTATCTCTGTCACCTCTGCTGTGAAGCATCTGCTGTATGTGATGTGATACCACCTTCAGGATTTATATACATCTTTTGTAACATCAGAGCAGTTTGCAGTACAGCACTTCAACAGGGTTCTCTGAAACCCAGAGAAATGAGCTGAAGTGCTCCCTTCACACCTGATTATTTTGTGCTTGGTCATTACTGTGACAAATGCTACAGGGATTGACAGTGGCAGTCGCATTCATCTGTACCTTATAAGTAGTTTATTGAACACAATGTAAGCTTCCAGAAGGGAACATAAAACATACAAAGGAGGTGGTTTCAAGGCTAGTGAGTACAGGTTGTTTTCCTGGAGAGTTCTAACTCTAAAACAATGAAGAAAGTACTTTAGAGATCTCCTACCAGATGTCCAAATATCCTAGACATCCAGGCCATCTTTCTGGAGAAATTAGTGGTGGAGAAAAATATTGTAAATAAAAGAAATTACTGTTTAAGACACCATGGGATAATTTGACAGTTACAATGCAAAGGCAGAATATACTACTTTTTCATTTGTTTGAGAATCCACCTTCCTTGAGTTGTCTAAAAGTGGTGTTCTCATAAGTGAAGTGAGACCAGAGTAAATTGTTGTTTTCTGTGTGTTTGTGTAATTTGAGAACTCTAATTTTGATAGTGTATGTTAAGGTTAGTTGGTTAGATTAAGCTAAACAGGCACTTACATTTTTCTAAACTGCTTTAAAATATTTTTTCTTTGATGCCTTTGTTTTATCTGCTAAGTTAAATAGTTTTGCTTTAAAAAAGACATTGCCTACTTCATCATCAAGTTTTTAAAAAAGAAAAAAATACAAATGCTCAGCTCTTGATGGGACCAGTAGAATGCAGATCTTTAATGTCTATGGTAGTCCTAGTTCCAGAGTGAGAAAATTATTTGACTCAATCCCAAGCACTAAATGGCAAAAAAGGAAGAGGATTCAAGACAGGGAGGTGGACACCCTCAGGGAATGTATGACCAGAACACTGAATTGAGATTGAATGGATGTCCTACGTATGAAAGCTTCAATACTCTTGCTTTTTTGAATATTCCTGTAGTGTCTTCCATTTTAGTATAAACACACCATTCTTAAAGCTTATTTTATTCTTTAGTTTTTATCATCCTGTAGCTTGCTTTAAGAAGAGAAACTTCAGAATTTCAGTTCAATATCCTTTCTTTTGGAATTATTTAATGTGTTCATGGTTTCAGTTTCCTCTGCCAATTCTCGATCTGAAAATCCATTATTTTCTCATGTTGTATGAAAGCAAGTTAATTTTGAACTGACTTCCAGTTCACAGTGTATCATTTGGCAATGTAAATTCATAAAATGATTAATGTAATAAATACAAAAATATCTCACATAGAGGCACACAATGGTTACTCTCATTGATTGTCACCATGTCTTCCATTTTTGGCTGAAGAGAAAGATAAAACAGATTAAACACAACCAGCTGCACTTCAGTAGTTTGGACTTCTGCTCTGCTGAAGACCTTTATGAAATGAGATGAACACACTGCAAATAAGTTTTCCTCAATTAATAAAATATGAAATGATTATAATGACTCAGTGAACGATAATCCAGATTTTCTGTTTCTGATTATACCTCTCAGAAATCACAGCAATAGAAGCTGGAGGAAAACTTTTAAATAACACCTTCCTACTTTACTACAACAGAGTTGTAAGGAAAATCTTTTGGATTTAAATGTTTGTTTAGATTTAGCTGTACGGAAGTGCTGTTTTTCTAATTGTGATTAGAGTTGATTGGGACTTTCACTATGACATTAATGAAGTGAATAAAAAGTATCTTTAAAAGTCTCATCCTTTCATTTTATTAATGTCCACAGTCACTGCTAATCCTTTCAGCAGTTATTTCTTCCAGTATTTGATTAATCAAATTAACATTTGATCGATTAGCTTAATCATTTCTTCTGCACAAAAATTCCCCAGTTTGTTAGGTATCTGGTTTTAGTTCTTAATTATATATATTTTCACCATACACAGCCCTTGCATGTGAATACATTGTTTTTTACAGTTCTTATAAATTTTTCTCATTTCAAGTTTTCAGCAGCAGCAGCAAAAAAGAAAAAGTTTCTCAATTTGATATTAGTATAGGTGAACCCTGGCAGTTCAGGTACATGTGTATGTGGCTTATAGAGAAAACAGAGTAAAATTGAGGTAACAAGTTCTCCCTCTAAGCTACATCCAGTGTCTTTCCACAAGTTCCAGCAACAAATTGACACTGATCTCAGAGAGAGAAGCAAGAGTCAAGGCTCAGATTTATCCTGAGGGGTGTGCAGACCGTGTGAAATTCAAAGAGTTTCCCAAACCTTGAGCTAATTTTTCTAAGCAAGGACAGCATGCCCCATTTGAGGTTATAAAAGGCTGCCAAAAGCTGTTTCTAACAGCTGAAGTTTGGTTACACTTGCGTTTATAGTGTAAAATTATAATGATCTCAACATTGCATCTTTTATTTTCCTTATATACATTCAATGTTAGGTTTTGATTTCTGACTGCTATTGTAGCTTTTGAGCAGTCATAATTACTTTCTACTTTTTGTGCTGAGATTTAATATAAACTACTCTCGTCCCTGTCCCCTACCCCCAAAGGAAGAATTTATCTGGAAAGGTGTTCCAGGCAAGGTTGTTGAGGTTACTCAGAAACCAATTACATACTCGCTCAAGGGAAAAAAATTAAAGAAAAAGGTGCAAGATTCTGACAAATAGTCCA